CAAATGACACCAAGCTGGCAGGAATAGCCAACACTTCAGAAGATAGGCTTAAGATACAGAATGATCTTGACAGACATGAACATTGAGCACTATCTAACAAAATGAAATTCAATGGGGGGAAAAGTAAGATTCTACATTTAGGCAAGAAAAATCAAATACACAGGTATAGTATATGTGGTACCTAGTGCAACAGCAGTAACTATGAAAGGGATCTTGGAGTCCTAGTGGACAATTAGTTAAATATGAGCCAGCAGTGTGCTGCAGCTGCCAAAAAAACTGCATTAACAGAGGGACAGAATCAAGATCATGTGAAATGTTAATACCACTTTATCATGCTTTGGTAAAACCAAATTTGGAATACTGCATCCAGCTTTGGTTACTACAATATAAAGAAGATGTTAAGACTCCTGAAAGAATGCAGAGAAGAGCACAAAGATGATTAGGGGACTGGAGACTAAAACATATAAAGTTGCTGGGATTGGATACATCTATCATTTAATGAAAAGGACTAGGGATGACATGATAGCAGTGTTCCAATATTTAAAGGGCTGCCACAAAGAAGAGGAAGTAAATCTATTTTCCAAAGAACCTGAAGGCAGGACAAGAGGCAAGGGATGGAAACGGGTGAAATTTAAACAACTTGCACCACTTTGCGCGAAGTGGTAGGGACGATTGGGTTTGGTTCGCCAAACTAAACAATCGCCCTGGCTGGCCCCACCCATGCCCATCCAGTCGCACCCGTGTTGGCAATGAGTGATACAGGTGGGTGGACTGATGCATGTGGGGAGGGAGAGTAGCGCGGGGAGATCGTGGCATCGCAGCCCTTCCCAGGTGTTCCCTGGTCTGAGGGGAGCATGCGATCTCCCATGCCCCCCTCAGGAGCTGCAAAGCACTCACTGACACTCTGCCATCTGCCCAACCTCCTCCCCACTGTGCTTCTCTTCGCCGGAAGCGCTCACACGCCCAGAGGGAAGGAGGAGGCTTGGTGGGTGCCAGAGGGGTGGCAAGCACTTTGTGGCCTGCAAGGGGAGCCTGGCTGGTGGTTTCCATGGCAAACAGAGAGAGCCAGCCCATTGGGACCGCTTGGGCCCTCTTAGCTCGGCTGACTCAACTGCCAGGAGCTCGGGTGAGGGAGAAGGCACCAAGCCCCGTGACCACCAAGTGAGGAGGGAGCAGGGGAGAGATGGGGGAGGCACCAATTCTCCTCTTCCTGCCAGAGACCCTCCTCACCCCTCCCCTCTCGGTCGAGCGGCGCTTGCCGCTTAGCACAAAACCTTTGCTCCCCCCCCCCCCCAAAAAAAGTGTCAGAGAGAGAGAGAGAGAGAGAAATGACACGAGACATGAGAGGCCAAGTGATGTCAACTTGGCCATGCCCACCCACCCAGTCACATGACCACCAAGCCATGCCCACAGAGCCAATAGGGGAAAAAATGAATTTCACCCCTGGATGGAAACTAATCAAGGAGAGAAGCAATCTAGAACCAAGGAGAAATTTCCTGACAATTAATTAGTGGAACAACTTGCTTCCAGAAGTTGTGAATGCTCCAACACTAGAAGTTTTTAAGAGATTGGACAACCATTTGTTTGAAATAGCAATAGCATTTATATACCACTTCACAGTGCTTTACAGCCCTCTCTAAGTGGCTTACAGAGTCAGCATATTGTCCCCAACAATTTGGGTCCTCATTTTACCAACCCCGGAAGGATGGAAGGCTGAGTCAACCTTGAACTAGTATAAGATTTCCTGCCTGAGGGGGTTGGACTAGAAGAGGTTCCTTCCAACTCTGTTATTCTGTATTATGTAGTTTACAGTGGATGGCCTGTTCCATCACTAGCCCCCCCCCCCCACGGCCTTCCCCATCATGTGTACTTAATGACCCACACATTTGATTAGCGAATATGTGGGCGAAATCAGGGAGTGATTTCAGTCAAGTTACATGATTCATTCCTACAAATCCTCGAGTTAAGAATATAATTGGCAGGCTCCATTACATTTGTAACTTGAGGACTAACTGTACTTTCAATTATTTGTTTTGGGAATTCTGAATTAAAGCACATATTTGATTCTGTATTTGACCCCAATAAGCAATTTCCATATGTTTAATTTTAAAACAGTTACAACAAATGTGGCAATAGAAATTAATTAAGTGGCATGATTGGGGGGGTATTTTTTGGCATAGGTTGATGTCCATAGGTCTTCTCAGAACAATTTTTGATATTTACCTCAGAATTCAACATGTGTAGTTTATCATTTATACTGTTGTCAGATGTATACTGCATGAGGCATCACGTTTAGAGACAATAGTGAGAAACAATCTAAGCAGTTCTTTTGGTTTCAGAGAATTACATCATAGAATTTGTCATCGCTGACTTTTAAAAAAAAAATGTTTGAGATTGGTGTTCATTTTACAATTCTCGCTTGGTTGACCCAGGATAGGAAAGAAGAAGGAAAAGAAGGATTGTTAACCCAGTCAGAGTTCTGTCGTTGATCTGGTTTGAAATGTCATGTCATCCATGAAATTTTTTCAGCAGCCAATCTCTTCCCCTGTGCTCTTTTCTAGCTGCTCAAATCTTCTACATCTATAATAGGACAAATGACAGTTTTAAATTTTTAAAACTATTTTTTAATATGTAACAAATATGTTTAAATGTAGCATGCTGGGCGGGCTGCTCAGAACTTTTATTATTTTTAATTAGCAGGCCATTGTAAGAGAGTTGGGTGCATTTAATGTTTTGCTCTTAGCTGCGTCATTTGGTAGTTAAGAAACACTCCTCACTGATTGACGGAAACCTTTGTAAAACTACGGATGGTCACTTTCTGCAGAATTATAATCTTGCTGCTGTACATAATGAGGTCAGTGAAGCATCAAGGAAGAAAATGTAGAATTCTATAGCATGGATCTGTAAGCACAGCACTGTCTAGGCTATTTAAGTTTAATGAGGCAGCTACTGTGCTGCTGCATACGCTCACTGAACAGTCTCAGCATGTATTTCAAAACTAAAATGTAGCTCATAATCCATGTCCATATGCTGTAGGAGATGAGACCATTCTGTTAAGTCTGCATTCTTCTGAATTCCCTTTAGTATTGATGGTACCAGAATGTGTTATTTGTTCTGTTTTATTGGAAATCTGGATCAGGAGGCTACTCTTTTTCTTCCTTGTCCTCAGAGCATTGGCACTACCACATAGTAGTAATTCCTTGGTAGCATTCAGATTCCCTGGAAAATATGCACTTTCTTCAAAGCTAAAACAGCCACTAAAATAAGGGTAGTTTTTCCTCAAACATGTATTCCTTAATATTTTGGAAACATGCAAAACACCTGAGCCATCATTCATGTTATATAGACATTCTGAATAATTTTCTTGCCTCCACTAATGTTTCTTCAAGAGTTAGGGTGCCCAATGATATGACTGTGACCCCAGTGATCAAATGAAGCTAATCCAAGGTTGACCTCAATCTTTCCATGCGTTGAGGTTACACAGATTAAAAACAATCAATGTAATTAATTTTTAAGGTGCTGTATCATGGCTTTAAATGTACATTGGCTGTGCACCAGTCCCCTTGAGCATTTATATTTGATAATTCAGCCAATTACATCAAGCTAATAAAGTGAAATGACCAAGATGTGATCAGTTCAAATTTCGTAGAATTAAGAGAAGGAAAGGGGTGAGCAAATCCAAAATTCCTTTTTTGGTGCTCTGTCAGGCCCAATAAACTTTATTTCAAACAGAGTGAGGTAATCTTTCCTTAAAAAATCAGGTGTGCATTCACTGTAATGAAAGGCACTGGGATATAGTATGTACAGAACAGTGATGAATTGTTAGTCTGCATGTGTATTTGATCATAGGTCATACTTCTACCAAAGTTCCATAAAATAAAAGACTCTTTTTGTGACACTCCCCCCACCTCATTCAACTTTCTTTTTTATATTTTGGGAAATATTACAGTAAGATATTGCATTGATCTGTGAAAGAGGATTCCAAAAACTGTTCCATTTTATGCTGACTTCCAGTTGTGGCAGACTCTGACATGTACCATTTTTAAAACAAATGAAATTATTGAATAATAAAAAATAACAATACCCCTGGGTTTTCTCTTTCACTATTTGGCAAATAGTAATAAGCACAATTCTTAAGATCTCAAGAAACTGCAACACCCTCACTAATACCTTGACTGAGAGTGAGAATAGAATTTTCTTGATAAATTAGTTCTCATATTTACATGTTATTTACATGTCATAAACGGGAACACGTTTATGTATAAAAGCTAATCCCATGGACTATTGGTTTTCTCCCTGTCTCCTTTTAACTTGTAACATATATTATTCCTATTTTGAGGTGCTCAATTGCCCTTTTCTCATTAAACGTTAATTTGGGTGTTTTGCTCCATGCTTGATGATGTAATGCACTTAGCAATAATGGATGATTCCCTGAGAGAGATTGTAAGTTTCTTGTCCTCTTTCTCATGAAAGGCATAACTTTTTGAGGAGAGGCTTGGATCGAATTGACGGGATCAAAAGCAAAATCTGTTTTGCTCTGTGCAATAAGCAAGAAGTGTTTTGTGGTAGTAGACAGGTGGAGGAGAGGAAGGGGAAGCGGTGAAGAGACTTCCCATTTATTATCAAGACACTGATGATTGTGGAGAAACATAAAGAAACAAACACGCTTGCTTCATAGAGATGCAATTTCTCAAGCCCACATTTCAAAGCTGCCCATCCCCCGCCAATAGTAGGAACTTGGGTCTATTTTTTTTTCCTAGAGAGAGAAAACCTCTCATTTTCCTAGAGAATCAATAAGACAGTGTTGTACATCGCGGTGCTCTCTGCATTGTTATCAGTCTTTGCTTTCCCCCTTTTGTGTTTTACCACAAAAAAAAGGTATAACAAGAAATGATGCTGTTTTAAGTTCTGTGAATATTAATGAATAAAGATGCAGGTGGTCTATATTCAGTCTTTGCAGCCTGCTCTTCAATAAATGGTTTTCTAATCTTTTTTCCTAGATGGAAATCCTGTATGAATGTGGAAGCCATTAGCAGAGTAATTGCTGTCTGTTACCATGACAACCAGCCGCTGCAGTCACCTGCCCGAAGTCTTACCAGACTGCACCAGCCCAGCCACTCCTGTGGTAAAGACTGTGGAGGACTGTAGCAGTCTTGTGAATGGACAGCCGCAGTATGTCATGCAAGTTTCGGCCAAGGACGGACAGCTGCTATCAACTGTAGTACGGACTCTTGCCACGCAGAGGTACGGTCAGTCAGTCATTTCAAACTCAAGACGTGTCTGGATGCCCATTTAGCGGTGCTGGAGGAGTAAGGGCAAAGAACAGAGGGGATGTGACTGCAAGATCTGAGCCCTTGTAGTCCTATTTGGGACTTTATTTTTAAGGCCAGGCTAAGCACTGTCTGTTTTTATCTTGTTTAGATGAGAGGCTACTGTTTTGCACGCTCCTGTTTCCGTAACTCTGAGCAGACTCCACACACAACTTGCACTCTTAGAGTGTTCCTCTTTTGAATTCAGAATGAATTTTGTAAGCTAACAATAACTTTGTGAATATATCTAATGCGTAAACTTGCTCATTCTCATTCGGTGCAGGAAAAGGTAGGGAAATAGCTGGGAGAGCCAGATTGTAAAGTGAATAAGATGCAATAAATCCTTCTGATTTGGAAAAGAAAACTTTAGAAGTGACATCCTGCTGACTTGTGCATGCTGCTCATTGCAAACTGTGTGCCTCTGTATGAATGATTGACAGAAGGAGATTCTTTAGGTCGTCTCTCATCCAACATCGGAGTGTATGGAGCTTCTTTTTCCCCACACTTTTATGTCTGCCTTATATTTCTACAGTCAGGAAGCCTCTTAACTCTTTGACCCAATAATCACTGGCTACATGCTTTTTCTCAAATGTGCTTCAGGAATAGGTCTGACAGCTGGAAGTCATATTGCTGTTAACCAATGGGTGTGTGCATGCTGGCTGGGACTGATGGGCATTGTAATACAGTACATCTGAAAGATTCTAGATTGGAATAGTTATTCTCCCTTAATAATTTTGAGTCATTAATATTCTTTAAGTTAACTTTAACACATAGATATTCACTCACGAACAATAATTGTTAAATGCACCATGGCATGTACATTGCCTGTTACACCATTAGCCAATTCAACTAGAATTGCAACAAACCATATTGGATTGTTAGAAAAAGGTATTCCTTTTCCTAACTCAGCACAGGTGTGTATGTATGTACATACATATGATGTGAACTATGTTAATAAAATACACATAAAATTTTGATGTGTTCTTTACAAAACAGATTATTGGAAGTTCCTGCAGAAAGTTTAAGTTACTAATATAAAAAGCTAAAGTTTCAATTCAGATCACCATGATAGATCTGTCTTAGAATGAACATCTTTTCTAACAGTAAATTTCTAAAATTTGTGCATTTGTTTTTGTGTTGGTTTCTCCTTTTTGTTAAGAGCACACATAGAATTTTGTTCAGTCCTGCCAGAACGGCTCTGTGAGATACATTAGGACCGAGAGATTTAAAGGAAGGACACTCTGAAACATAGTTCAGAGGGATATTAACCTTCAAGTCCCAACAAGAATACCAGCATTTCCCAACTTGGTCTCCTCCTGATATTTCGGATAATGCTATGCCTGGATTCATATATTAGGGAAAGCAATTTTGTATTATACTGCCTAAAAATGGAAATATTAATATAGGCAGTATCAAATTGTAAATATTAATTTGAATAATGTTGAGGTTATGAATAAACCAGTCATTGAGATGTACCTACAATCATGTTTGAGGAAGGAATAAATAGTTTGAAACAGAAATATCCCAGTTTGATTGCCTTGCTATAGGGAGGGTCAAATCAAATATATTATGCTTCAGTTATTTTATAAGAAAAGCAAATGGAACACAACAGGCCAGTCCTCGCTTACAAATTACTGATGTTTATTCAGATCAATTTTAACAATTTAACTTGGAAGAAAGATTTTTAAACTTAAATAAATAGGCTAAGGAATAAGGTCCTAAGTTTCTTCTCCTGAAGAAAAATTGGAAGAAGGTGATAATGGGCCTTAGATTTATTCTGTGTAAGTTAATGTTGTATGTGCATTGTACAACAAATCCCCTACCTTCTTCCATTTTCTTTTCTTTTGGAGAGGCTTACTGGAAAAATAGCCTATCACATTGTATATAAAAACACTGAAGAATCCTAGGAGTGGTAACTGCAGGTGGCTTTCCACAAAGGTCCTCCAAAAATAAGGGCAGAACACTGTTTCCTTTAAACGCAGGAACTGTCAGACCTTCACCCAAGAGTCAGTAGTACATCCCTCTGAAGAAACTTACTCAGCATTCCTTGCTCAGCTAGCTACGGAAGAAAGGTTTTTGTAAAAGTCACTTTTACAAACAAAACTGAAATAATGAGACAATTGGCTGTTACAGAATCTTGCAAGAAAGTCTGCTATTTATAGCAGCTTCAAGACTTAAAATCTCACCTGTCATTACATAGTAGCAGATTTTGTGCTGCTCATTTCTCACCATTGGGTGTGAAGGGCACCTGCACCAAATATTTGGTGTCAGCTTTTTGCTTCTAGTTGGCAGCTCTGCGCCGCCTATCTAGTTCTCTCTTCATTATCACCAAGTTCTAGAGAGAATACTCTTGTCTCAGCAAACAAATTGCTCCAATTCTCAAAGGGAATGATGCCATGTGGAAAAAGAGATGTCCTAACTGGAAAAAGAGGGAGGACATACACGGTAGTTGAGCCAGCACATTGTGATGAGTATAGTGTGAAACTAACATGAGGAGAAAGTAGGCTGACTATGTAGAGCAGCAAATTAAACCTAACATCCATAGGACTTCTGCCTAGAGCATGCACATGGACACTCTGCACATGATAACCTGAAAAAGCAGTAAAGCTGCATGTACATCAGAGAGGATATTTAATACTATTTGAAGTGAGTCAGAATTACGGTAGATTTTACTTGTAATGTTTGTTTTAGATATTTCTGGTAATGTTAATAGATTTTTCTTAAATAAAACCAATCACAATGGGTGAAGTAATAAAAAAAAATAGATTGAAAATACTTCATCCGTTCAAGCAAACAAATCTTGAGCATGCGTATAAATATGCTTTAGATATACACTAGGGAGGGGAAAAAAGATATTGTGAAAGATAAGTATGAGAATGAATAGCTACAGCTAATCAATTAACTGTTATGCTTTAAAATCAAGTTGGTTTCCAAGAAAAAGCTGTGTGAAAGTCTGCAATAGGAGTTGCAATACTGAAGAAAAATGCTTTATTTTCAAGACATCTTTACGTAGGATTGTCTCTTGTAGAAAGTGATCCATTTCAATTTAAGCAATTGCATCCCTAAGAGATTCCCTAAGAGATATAGACAGTTTTGATTTTCTTATATTTCTGAGTGGGCTGTGTAATTAATAGCAGTATGATACACAACCACTGTTGTAATGATGAGGCAGTCGAGTTGTTTGATCATGAACAACTGAATCATGATGATCTTTATTGGAGTCTAGTCTTGCATTTATTCACATTTTTAGTTATCCTCCATCACTGGTTAACTTTGGTTACTGCTTAACTTTATTTATTTATTTATTTATTTGATTTGATTTGCCAATTGTTTACAAGATAATAAGTATAAGTGTATACATAGTTGTGAATACATGAAATGGGTACATATAAGAAAAATAAAAGAAGAATAACAGAAACAATAGGACAGGGACGGTAGGCACGGTGGTGCGCTTATGCACGCCCCCTACAGACCTCTTAGGAAAGGGGTGAGGTCAATAGTAGACAGTCTAAGGTTAAAGTTTTTGGGGTTTGGGGAAGAAACTACAGAGTCGGGTAGAGTATTCCAGACATTGACCACTCTATTGCTGAAGTCGTATTTCCTGCATACTGTTTAGCACAGTAATCCATACAATTAATTATCTCTAGTTAAAGTCTAACATATGTTTACTTTCTCTCTCTAATCCTCCTTTAGATTAGTGACTTTGTTTACCTGAGTTGTATTTGCTTGGAAACATTCTTTATCTGAGGTTTGCCATCCGAGATTGGAACATTCCTGCAAATACAACTCTACAAACCACTATGTCCGAAGTTGGTTCATTCCAAATGTTAACAATTTTTGTTTAATAAAGTAGATTGTTGAATGTTTTATATGTCAAGTTTCCTTTATTATGTTGGATTTCTGGGGGTAATGTGCCATAATAAAGTTTGAAATAGAGCTTTTCCTTCATTTCTCCTTTGTATCTTAATATAATACTTCTGGAATTCATTAAAGCAGTTTCCCATAACATTTCATTCAAGAAACTCTGGTTTAAGCTCTGAATGCAAACTAAAGTTACAAACCATGATTTGGTCCTGTTATATAGTCCAAAGGAAATGGCAGACGGGAATTGTAAAGACGCTACAAAAGAGAAAAAATGTAGAGAATACTGAAAACTCAGAATGGGGGATGGGGAACTGGGACAAAGTAGAACTTTTTATAGAAAACTGAGACTTTCTCAGTTGTAGCAATTTTGGCTAGATTCCAAGGTACTGTTATTGTCATTGGAAAGAAGATATTGGCACAGATGTTTTAGAGAATCAAGGAACATCTCTCTCCCCGCCCCTCACTTCCTCCCCCTCCTCTCTCCCCCCCTCTCTCTCACTCACTCCACAATATACTGCATACACGGTGACTTATTTGGAAGCAGTAATGAATGTTGCCCAGGTCACATTAATACAATTTAAGGATTGCTTCTTTATATGACTAGACTGAATGTTCTTAAAGAATGGGGCTGCCTTGTTAATTCTTCTACTATGGTAAGATTACATTGTAGGTAGTTGGAAAGAGATTATGCACAGCAATGACTTAGGTTCTTGGGTTCAACTGTATACAGTACAATTAATCTTGAAATAATCAAATAACCATGATGTTCCTTCAATTTATGACTCCTGCACCAACTTAATCCTCCTTTTTTGCAGTCCTTTCAATGACCGACCAATGTGCAGGATTTGCCACGAGGGCAGCAGTCAAGAAGACCTGCTTTCTCCTTGTGAATGTACTGGAACCTTGGGGACTATTCATCGCAGCTGCCTGGAACACTGGCTCTCATCTTCAAATACCAATTACTGTGAACTTTGCCACTTCAAGTTTACAGTAGAGCGCAAACCAAGGCCATTGGTCGAGGTCAGTAATTGAGAGAAGCTTTTAATTATGGATGTTTTTATAGCGTACCGCAAGCAAAGGAAAATCTGTAATCTCAAAAGTTTAGGGTCAAAGAGGAGGAACAGAAGGACAGCAAGAAGATATTTATTTATTATTAATCAAATTTACACATTGCCCACCTCACTGTAAGTGACTCAGAGTAGTTGAACAAATAAAAAATTGAGTTAGGTAAAAATACAAATAAAATTCAGTTATGAATCCTTTCAGTTTTTAGCTAAGTCCATGAGTGATTAAAGTAGAATTGATGCTGTGGGTTTTATGTACCTTTATTTAACTATAGCAGAAAATATTTAGGATACATGTAATATTATTTGATTTAGTGTAGGCATTTTGAAAAGAAATAAAGTTATACCATATCAAGAGAAATATTAATGTGTATTACAAATACACCAGTTGTTTTATTCTGTTTGTTCATTCTAGCTGCAGTAATTTAAATAAGTGATTTAAATAAATTGGGCTGTATATAAAATGACAATATACTCACTTGACTGCTGCACTAAAAGCTTTTTGTTTTCAATTTGAAAGACAGTATATTACAGGTCACTTAAAAATCAACATGAAGCAGTGAATTGTGAGAATTGTGAATAATACATTATTTTCCTACAAGTTATAAAAATTAGTTGTGAACCTGACAACATAGAACTTTGTATTTTATTTTGCTTCAACCAATATTATTCCACTGTTCAGAATCATAGAACTGAAAGGACTTTAGAAGTCTCCAGGTCAACTTTTCACTCAGCGGAGGCCATCAGATCATCTCTGACATCCACCATCTGTTTCAGGGCTTAGTGAAGGAAAACTCACTGCCTCATATGGCAGCCTGTTCTCTGGCTGATAGATCATTCATTCAGAAGGGTCCCCCTGATGTCTGACCTGGATTTCCTTCTTTATATTTTAACTGATTTGAGGCAAAAAAGGATGTTCACTCCAATGTGACAGCCCTTCAGATGTTTGAAAATTGCTGTTATAAACATATCTAGATTTTTTTTAAACTGCTCTTCGTGATTCTTTGCTGTCGTGATTCCCTTCCAAACTTGTTCCATTTTGTCCATTTTTTTAGACTCTGGTGCCCAGATCCACATGCAGCATTTCAAGTAAATTCTGACCAGGGCAGAGTTGAACAGTTACATCCTGTGGAATAGTTATCTACTGGACTCTTTGCTTCTCTTATTATATCCTAATATAGCATTTGCCTTTTTTAGAAGTTAAATTACACTGCTCTCTCACATTTAATTTGTGGTTGACCAGGATACCCAGATCACTTTCACATGTACTCCAGCCAGGCATGTCTATCCATCTTATATTCTGCCCTACATTTTTGTTACCATATGCAGAACTTTTATATTTCTAACTGATATGTAACTCAATATTTACCATCTAAAGGGATGCTATGAATGATAATTCCTTAGGTTCAATCATTCAGGTAATTATGAATTCATCTAACTAATATCATCTTCATGTTTTACTCATTGATGAGTAGCTGATGAAGGTTCTATTGAGGTCTACGTATACTATGTCTGTGGCCTTCCTGTGAACTATTAAATTAGAAACTCTACTGAAAGGGTAATATTCGTCAGACACCGATTTTGATAAACTGTATTGATTCCTGTTTAATTGTAACATGCCAATTCAAGCTCTCACAAACAGGTTTGCTTGATAATCTGTTCAAGGACTTTGCTCAGTGTAGACATGAAGTTTTCAAAGATTACCGAGAACAGTTCTACAATCAATTCTGCTAATTATTTAACTACCCCAGGATATACTCCATATGGCTCTGGAGACAAATTCATTTACATTAGGTAGTTCTTTATTATTCTCTCCTTCTATGTTCAAAATGGTAGCTCTTTGTTCCCCCAGTAGCTTAAGAATTATGAGAGGAAGGTCTGTCTGTTTTCACCATTTCATGAGTAGATAAATACAGTATAATGCACTAAGCTCCTCACAAAAATGGGACTTGACAGATTTTTTTAAAAAGCTTGATGACATACCAGTTTTTTTTTAGAAATCATAGGCATTCAGAGGGGAAAGGGAAGCGAGGAAATGACAGCATACGCCTGATTATGTAAATCAGAAAAATGCTGCAACTTACATACTGCTGTCAGACATTTTTGACAAGTAATGGCATTTTTAAATTATACGCATGCATCATTTCGGCATTACTGTAGCTTGTTACAGGTATTGTAGCTTGTTACAGGTAACCAGGAATGGTCATTCAAAATGAGACAACCCGCTATGGCCAACTCGCCATGGGACAACTTGCTATGGCCAACTCACAGTGGGACAAACTCACCACAGGACAATTTAACAATTTAATTACTTAAAATAAATAAAAAATATTTTAACTTTTTTTCATTCACATTTTATTCTGTCCCTCTTTTTGCATCTTTTCTTTAATGATTCTATTTCACCATTTCTTTGATATTAGTATAACTCTTGTCCCATGGAGAGTTGGCCATGACGAGTTGTCTTGCAGTGAGTGGGCCGTGGCGAGTTGGCCATGGTGAATTGTCATAGACAATTGGTTATTCACAGTTGGAAGTGGGCCATCCCCTTTTGGATGTTTGCTGGATTTTGCTAATGGCTTGTCATTTAATTGTAAGCCACCCAGAGGCATTTTTCAGAGTGAGACAGGCAGCAGAACAAACAAACAAACTCACTATAGCAGAAAATGCGCCAATGGCATCAATATTTCTAGAACAAAAAACCCTGGATTTTTTTTCCCCCTCATAAAATAGTTCGTTTGCCATGGTCCTTGCAATGGGAGAGGGCAGGGCTAGTGTAACTGATGAAAGCAGTAGCAAATGAGGGATAGTGAAGCTGGGGGTAATCTTATTGCCTGCAGTTATTCCTTTTTCACACGGACCTGTTTGTTCAGCTGTAGCTATAGCTGTGTTTAACCAAGTCTATATTATGGTATGAACTCTCAATATTAAGTGAGCAGCTACATTGGAATTACAACTGTGGCAAATGCATCAAGGCTTCCTTACTGTAAGGAATCCTTTAAAATCAGAAGTTAAAAACAAAGATTTCCAATTATCGGTGCATATGATTTTTCATGAAAACCTATCAAGAAATAAATTGCACAAGGTTGCAGTGAGAGTAGATGTACAGCTTAATTTATTTCAGCTTCACCTTCTGATTGGCTGTCCATGAAAATGTTCTCCTGCACAAATGGAATGTGACATTTCTTGAGTCTTAATAGTAACTGGGTGAGCTCAAATGGAAAGTGAATGCTTCCAGAGCTGGAAAGGTATTGTGTGATCACAGAGGAAATTTTCTTTCAACTCAAGAGGCAAAAAAGGAGCCTGTTGAAATTGCTTATGTTATATGCTTAAATAAGGCAAAAGTGAAAATGAGTTAACAAGCAAATTCAGCGACATACTCAATGCTATTTGTACTTTTTTAAAAAATAAAAAATAAAGGCTTACTTGGGAATTAATTTGAAGTAGTTTAATATCTGCAAAAATAAAGATTTGCTGATATGTTCCAGAATAGGCTAACTCAGGAAATTTCCTATGGAGGCAGGCGACAAAGTAAGACATGGATATAAGTGAAAAGTATATACAGCAGCTCTCTATAAAATACCAACTTATGGTTCATAAAAATGAATAGAAACCAAAAGGCCCTGGATTGTTCTACAGTTTTTCCTCAAAGTGGACATATTCTTAATTGGATAGAAACCGAAACAGCATGGCTGGCTGCTTATGTAGAGGATATCACTATTTGTTCTTAGCATAATTCTATCAGGATAAATTTCAGATGGTGGTGAAGTATAAGCCATTGATAAAAATGGGGACTATAGCCATTTCTGTCCAACATAGCTTTCATTTTCAGAGAAGAGGATCTTTGTAATCTATTTACCTTCTGATCCTCCGACTTCACTATTGTTTCTCTCCGATAACAATTTCCTTTTGCAGAGAATATGGATTAGAGGCATTGTCAATGTTGACCATGCGTTGGTTTCATTATTCATTCACCTTGCAGAACAGGTGGGATGCCAGACTTTAATTTATGGCTGCTTCTTCCCTGGGTTTTATCTTATCACAGAATACACCAGTGTCATTTGTCGAAGCAAACATAAAACATGGCTTTTTACCTACCGGGCAGTTATTAAAGGTTCTTCATTATTTTAAAGTCTAGCCTAGGATTTTATTTACTTTTTAATAATCCAAATATAAAGTTATGAGTTCAGCAGCTTATTATATAATTGTGTAAAATCGGATGTAGGAAAATGTGAATTCCAATGTAACACTTGGTATGATATTTTGGTCTCCTTATGATAACAAAATGTATTTTTTTTCTAGTTCTACTGGGAAAGATTAGAGTTTTTTCATTTCTTTTTCTTATTAAAAGACTATAATACTATAGATAAGAATTCATGAGCATTATAAAAGGAATATCTTTTCATCAGGGTGCGGAACTTTTAAGCAAAAAGCAGAATGTACATTCTGTCCTCATAATGTTAGTTATGAAAATGTAAAGTCATATTGAGAAACTATCTGATTTTATTTTAATTCCAATAACAGCAGCAGATTTTGTGTGTGTGTGTGTATGTATATATGTATATGTATATATAGATGTATACACGTACACACACACATACACATACACACACACACACGCACACACACACACACACATACAACATGCCTTATTTTCAACTGAAACAGGTGCAGAAATTAGCCATCTGTAGCAAATTCACAAACCAAATAATCCCAATGACCCCTGAACTAAATATAGTATCTACCTAGCTAATTCAGCTCTGGGTTTTTTCAATTAAACAGAAACTGTGTTATCTTTCAGGACCCTAGAAGCATAACTTCTCTATAAAAGCATCTGATCTCTGGAATAAGATCCTCCTCCCCAATATCCAAATGACCCCTACTCTTATTGATTAGAACAGGGGTGTCAAATTCAAGGCCCATGGGCTGGATTTGGCCTGTGGGGTGCTTAGATCTGGC